ATCTAATGTAGAGTGGATGTTATGTAATCTACAGTTAGAGTGGGATGTTATGTATCTAATGTAGAGTGACTGTTTATGTATTACAGTAGAGTGGGATGTTATGGATCTAATGTAGAGTGGAATGTTATGTAATTACAGTAGAGTGGGATGTTATGTTATCTAATGTAGAGTGGAATGTTATGTATTCTACAGTAGAGTTGGGATGTTATGTATCTAATGTATGAGTGGAATGTTTGTATCTTACAGTAGAGTGGGATGTTATGTTTCTAATGTAGAGTGGGAATGTTATGTATCTACTGTAGGTGGGATTTTATGTATCTAATGTAGAGTGGAATGGTTTTGTATCTACAGTAGAGTGGGATGTTATGTATCTAATGTAGAGTGGTGGAATCGTATGTATCTACAGTTGAGTGGGATGTTAGTATCTAATGTAGAGTGGAATTGTTTTGTCTACAGTAGAGTGGGATGTTATGTATTAATGTGAGTGGAATGTTGTGTATTCTACATAGAGTGGGATGTTATGTATTAATGTAGAGTGGAATGTTTTGGATCTACAGTAGAGTGGGATGTTATGTATCTAATGTAGAGTGGAATGTTATGTATCTACAGTAGAGTGGGATGTTATGTATCTAATGTAGAGTGGAATGTTTTGTATCTACAGTAGAGTGGGATGTTATGTATCTAATGTAGAGTGAGTGTTATGTATCTACAGAGAGTGGGTGTATGTATCTAATGTAGGTGGAAATGTTATGTATTACAGTTGAGTGGGATGTTTGTATCTAAGGTAGAGTGGAGAATGTGATGTATCTAATGTAGAGTGGAATGTTTTGTATCTACAGTAGAGGAGGTTATATCTTTATTATAGTGGATAGAAATGTATCTTCAGCATAGTGGCGTGGATCAGTTTCTGAAGTAGCGGTACGGAGTATTTCAATCTTCAATCGATTCGAAAGATTATTTATCTGCACTGTTAGTGTAAGGTGTCACATCTATCAGTAATGTATCTAAGAGGATACATATTATGTATCTGCTCTACAGTGGGAGGTTATGTATAACACTTACGTTAGAGGTAATGTATCAAGACTAGCATGGGAAATTATGTATTTCACTTGAGTGGGAGTTTATGTATTTTCACTGTGTGGGTGATCATGGTTCTTCTCTTCGAGTTGGGAGTTTTTGTAGCTTCATACGTGATGTGGGAGTTTAGGTATCTTCACTAGAGTGGGAGCTTATGACTTCACTTGAGTGGGAGTTTATGTATCTTCACCTGAGTGGGAGTTTGTGCATCTTCACCTTAGTGGGAGTTTATGTATTTTCACTTGAGCGGTAGTTTATGTAACTTCACCTGAGTGGAAGTTTATGTATCTTCATCTTAGAGGGAGTTTATGTATCACCACTTGAGTGGGAGTTTATGTATGAACATTTGAGTGGGACATAAATCATAAGGAGACAGGAGAATAAGTCTTTATTATTGTGACAGTATAAACATTACTGATATAAAACATAGACAAGTAGTGTTAGATTATAAGGAGACTCTCAACCTAGAATGTTCATCACTACTAGAAGAATGTTATACACTACTAGAAGAATGTTATACACTGCTAGAAGAATGTTATACACTGCTAGAAGAATGTTATACACTGCTAGAAGAATGTTATACACTGCTAGAAGAATGTTTTACACTACTAGAAGAATGTTATACACTACTAGAAGAATGTTATACACTGCTAGAAGAATGTTATACCACTGCTAGAAGGAATGTTATACCATACTAGAAGAATGTTATACACTACCTAGAAGATGTTATACACTACTAGAAAAGATGTTATACACTGCTAGAAAGAATGTTATACACTGCTAGAAGAATGTTATACACTACTAGAAGAATTGTTATACACTTACTAGAAGAATGTTATTACACTACTAGAAGAATGTTATACACTATAGAAGAATGTTATACACTGCTAGAAGATGTTATACACACTAGAAGAATGTTATACACTACTAGAACAAATGTTTTATACACTACTAGAAGAAAGTTATACACTACTAGAAGATTGTTATACACTACTAGAACAATGTTATACACTACTAGATGAATGTATAACACTACTAGAAAGAATGTTATACACTGGCTAGAAGAATGTTATTACACTACTAGAAGAATGTTTACACTACTAGAACTAATGTTATACACTACTAGAAGAATGTTATACACTACTAGATGAATGTTTGTACACTTCTAGAAACAAATGTTATACACTACTAGAAGAATGTTATACACCCTAGAAGAAATGTTAACACTACTAGAAGAATGTTATACACTACTAGAACAATGTTATACAATGACTTGAAGAATGTTATACACTACTAGAGAATGTTTATACACTATAGAAGAAGTGTTATACACTTACCTAGAAGAATGTTATACACTACTAGAAGAATGTTATACACTACTAGAAGGAATGGTATACACTACTAGACGAAATGTTATACACTTCTATAAGAATGTTATATATACTATAGAATGTTATAACTAAAACTAGAAGATGTTGTACACTTACTAGAAGAATGTTTACACTACTAGAAGAATGTTTACACTACTAGAGAATGTTATACACTACTAGATGAATGTTATACAATACTAGAACAAGGTTATACACTACTAGAAGAAGTTATACACTATAGAAAGAATGTTATTCACTACTTAGAATCAATGTTATACACTACAGAAGATGTTATACACTACTAGAAGAATGTTATACACTGCTAGAAGAATGATTATACATTACCTAGAAGGAATTGTTATACACTACTAGAACAATGTTATACACTATAGAAGAATGTTATACACTACTAGAAGAATGTTTATACACTACATAGAACAATGTATAACTACTAGAAGAATGTTATACACTACTAGAGAATGTTATACACTACTAGAAGATTGTTATACACATACTAGAACCAAAGTTATACTCACTACTAGAAGAATGTTATACACTACTAGAAGAATGTTATACAAACTACTAGAAGAATGTTATACACTACTAGAAGAATGTTATTTACACTACTAGAAGAATGTTATTACATACTAGAAGAATGTTATACACTACTAGAAGAATGTTATACACTACTATAAGAATGTTATATACTACTATAAGAATGTTATAAACTACTAGAAGAATGTTATACACTACTAGAGAAGTTATACAACATACTAGAAGAATGTTATACATACTAGAAGAATTTATACAACTGCTAGGAAGGAATGTTATACACTACTAGAAGAATGTTATAATACTAGAACAATGTTATACACTACTAGAAAGAATGTTATACACTACTAGAAGAATGTTATTACAACTACTAGAACAATGTTATACACTACTAGAAAGAATGTTTTATACACTACTAGAAGAATGTTATCACGCTAGAAGAATGATTATGACACTACTAGAAGAAGTTATACACTACATAGACAATGTATACACTACTAGAAGAATGTTTATACACTACTAGGAAGAATTTATACACTACTAGAACAATGTTATACATACTAGAAGGAAAATGTTTTACACTACTAGAAGAATGTTATACACTACTAGAAGAATGTTATACACTACTAGAAACAATGTTTTATACACTACTAGAAGAATGTTATACATACTAGAAGAATGTTATACACTAACTAGAAGAATGTTATACACTACTAGAAGATGTTATTACACTACTAGAAGAATGTTATTACACACTAGAAGAATGTTATATCACTACTATAAGAATGTTATATATATACTTAAGGAATGTTATACACTACTAGAAGAAATGTTATACACTACTAGAAGATGTTATACACTACTAGAGAATGTTATACACTACTAGGGAAGAATGTTATACACTACTAGAAGAAGGTTATACACTTACCTAGAAGAATGTTATACACTACTAGAAGAATGTTATACACTACTATAAGAATGTTATATACTACTATAAGAATGTTATACACTACTAGAAGAATGTTATACACTACTAGAAGAATGTTATACACTACTAGAAGAATGTTATACACTACTAGAAGAATGTTATACACTACTAGAAGAATGTTATACACTACTAGAAGAATGTTATACACTGCTAGAAGAATGTTATACACTACTAGAAGAATGTTATACACTACTAGAAGAATGTTATACACTACTAGAAGAATGTTATACACTACTAGAAGAATGTTATACACTACTAGAAGAATTGTTAAAATACTAGAAGAATGTTATACACTACTGAGATGTTAATACACTGCTTTAGAAGGAATGTTATACACTACTAGAAGAATGTTATACACTACTAGAAGAATGTTATACACTACTAGAAGAATGTTATACACTGCTAGAAGAATGTTATACACTACTAGAAGAATGTTATACACTGCTAGAAGAATGTTATACACTACTAGAAGAATGTTATACACTGTAGAAGTATGGTTATACCACTATGGAAGAATGTTATACACTGCTAGAAGAATGTTTTACACTACTAGAAGAATGTTATACACTGCTAGAAGAATGTTATACACTACTAGAGAATGTTATTAACACTGCTAGAATGAATGTTTTACACTACTAGAAGTATGTTATAACACTATAGAAGAATTGTTATACACTACTAGAGATGTTATCACTAGTAGAAGAATGTTATACACTGCTAGAAGAATGGTTATACACGACAAGACAGAATGTTTATACACTACTTAGGGAAGAATGTTAAGACATGTTATACATCTACTAGAGAATGTTATACGCTTCCTAGAAAGAATGTTATTACACTGCTAGAAGAAATGTTTTACACTGCTAGAAGAATGTTATACCAACTTACTAGAAGACTGTTATACACTTGTCTAGAAGAATGTTTTATAATGCTAGAAGAATGTTTTACCATCTAGAAGAACTGTTATACACTGCTGAAGATGTTTTACACTACTAGAAGAATGTTATACACTACTAGAAGAATGTTATACACTGCTAGAAGAATGTTATACACTACTAGAAGAATGTTATACACTACTAGAAGAATGTTATACACTGCTAGAAGAATGGAAGGTACCGGGTTTGATGCAAGCTTCACATTGAGCTCTGATTTCTTGTTTCTCTTCTCTTTTGTTATCTTGTGACGTGATCAGATGTTTCTGTTTTGCACTTGTGGCTGTAACATATGAAAATTATGATTAAAATATATGAACAAGAATCACAGACATATCTGATATAAATCTATTGTGATGGAGATCTTTCCTGGTTGACTTGTTACATGATTATGTACCATATTGCTCTGATTAATGTCAACCAGATACACTAGGATTAGAATTCATAATGGTTATAAATATAACCATTATTTTTAAGTACTGGACCCATAAGCCAGCGGAAGGCCTCGTTCACATAACCAAAAGCTCCTGATGCGGGTCATCATATGACTAAGACCTGCGTCTTGAAACACTTGATCTGTTCCCTGACAAACCTACTGTGACTTCTGGACGTGTATTTTGTCCTGCAAGCTACTGTGGACCTTTGACATGTAGGGAGTTACCTCTGTGCTGCCAGGCCTTATTGTGACATCGTGCAATGTGTCTACGTAACCTGTAGTAGGGTATTTCCGGGAGTGTCAAAACGTTTCGGAGGCCTATAGTCTATAGACCAGCCTCCCGGTGGATCAGGGTCCTGATCAACAAGGGTGTTACTTCTGGTTGCACGTAGGCCAAATTAACGAACCACAGCCGGCACTTACTTTAGTTATCAGTTATACTGCCTTGTCTCTGTTCAGCCAGACCATCCCACATCCCACAGCCCACAACCCACAAAACACTCATCAACCCCAACCCACCCACCCATCCCCCTATTACCACCCTTGCAGCATAGTTGCTGATCCCTTGTATATGTATGTTATCTGAGTATCATAGTTACCATCCATATGTTTTACATACACGACCCCTTGCTAGTCCAGTGACTAGTTTTGTGTGATGTCACGTGATGCGCATGAGTTGACGTGGGATGCGCTGCATCGGCGTCAGTTCCCCTTAATCCAAGCAGGTTGTCAGGAAGACAGTTTTGGGCATCCCCTTTTGACACTTTCAATATAGTGTAACCATCCAACAAGGTGTGTTAACTCCAACCACAAATCTCCACTAACCTTCCCACACACTCCACCCCCACTATTTTGGCCCCTCACCCCCCTCCTCCAAAACCCCTACTTTTTTCTACCCTTTTTCCACACCTTCTACACTGAACTGTGCCTGCTGGCTGAAGCTCTTACTTCACACGCGAGGGTCTGGCGTCGATTCCAAGCGAGGTAGAAATTTTGGGCGTGTTTGTTTCCTTACCCGGTAGTCCATGTTCACCCATCAGTAAAATGGGTTGCAGGATGTATAGTGGACTGGTGTGGGTCGCATCGGGACAAAAATGACCTAATTTGCCCCGAAATACCCTGCATAACAAGCGCTTTCCATGTAGTAGTATGTCACTGATGTCAGCTCATGACTCAAGGATGATGGACTGATTACATCGTTCTTCAATACTACTGTCCCGCCTACTTCTGTATTCGGACTGAAGTAAGCTACTGTGTAGGCGAAACGTTTCGGAATAAAGTTGCTTAACTGTTGCCCTTGTGTCTTACGTACCACCTTGTACATGTACATGAAGAAATAACAAATATTATTATATTATTATACTAATCCCGCCCCGTACTCCTGGATAACCTCTGCTCCATTTTCTCGGATCAAGTTTGTAAGGAATTGCCATATTTCATCTTTCTTCTATTTTTGCTACATTCAACAGGTCATTACTTATATAAGGTACATTTAACAGGTCATTACTTATATAAGGTTACATTTAACAGGTCATTACTATATAAGGTACATTTACAGGTCATTACTTATATAAGGTACATTTAACAGGTCATTACTTATATAAGGTACATTTAACAGGTCATTACTTATATAAGGTACATTTAACAGGTCATTACTTATATAAGGTACATTTAACAGGTCATTACTTATATAAGGTACATTTAACGGGTCATCCATTACTTATAGAAGGTACATTTTAACAGGACATTTACTTATATAAGGTACATTTAAAAACAGGCGTCATTACTTTATAAAGGTACATTTAAACAGGTCATTATTATATAAGTACATTTAACAGGTCATTACTTTTATAAGGTACCATTAACAGGTCAATACTTATATAGGTACATTTAACAGGTCATTACTTATTAAGGTACATTTACAGGTCAATTACTTTATAAGGTACATTTAACAGGTCATTACTTATATAAGGTACATTTAACGGGTATTACTTTATAAGGTACATTTAACAGGACATTCTTATATAAGGTACATTTAACAGGTTTCATACTTATATAAGACATTAAACAGGTCATTACTTATATAAGGTACATTTAACAGCCCCCCCCCCCCCCCCCCCCCCCCCCCCCCCCCCCCCCCCCCCCCCCCCCCCCCCCCCCCCCCCCCCCCCCCCCCCCCCCCCCCCCCCCCCCCCCCCCCCCCCCCCCCCCCCCCCCCCCCCCCCCCCCCCCCCCCCCCCCCCCCCCCCCCCCCCCCCCCCCCCCCCCCCCCACCCTGGTCATTACTTTTATAATTTCATTTAACAGGTCATTACTTATATAAGGTACATTTAACAGGTCATTACTATATAAGGTACATTTAAAGTGTCATTACTTTATAAGGTACATTTTAACAGGTCATGACTTTATAAGGAACATTTAACAGGATCATTACTTTATATAAGAGTACATTTAACAGGTATTACTTATATAAGGTACATTTAACGGGGTCTCATTACTTAATATAGGTACATTTAACAGTGTCATTACTTATATAAGGTACATTTAACAGGTCATTAATTATATAAGGTACTTTACAGGTCATTACTTATATAAGTACATTTAAAGGTCATTACTTATATAAGGTACATTTAAAACAGGTCATTACTTATATAAGGTACATTAACAGTGTCATTACTTATATAAGTCAATTTAAACAGGTCATTACTTATATAAGTACATTTAACAGGTCATTACTTATTAAGGTATTTAACAGGTCATTTACTATATAAGGTACAATTTAAACGTCATGTACTTTATAAGGTACATTTAAACAGGCATTACTTAATAAGGGTACATTTAACAGGTATGATTATATTAAGGACATTACAGGTTCATTACTTATATAAGGTACATTTAACAGGTCATTACTTATATAAGGTACATTTAACGGTCATGTGACTTATATACGTACATTTAACAGGTCATGGACTTATATACATTTACATTTAACAGGTTCATTTTTCTATAAGGTAAATTAACAGGTCCCATGAATATATAATTCCCCCCCTACACAACCCATTCCCATTTGGGAAGCGGGCTTTCTATCCCCCCACTCTACATTTAACAGGTCATTACTTATATAGGTACATTTAAACAGGTCATTACTTTATAAGGCCACATTTAACAGGTCATGACTTATATAAGGTACATTTAAACAGGTCATGCTTATATAAGGTAACATTTAACAGGTCATTTACTTATATAGGTACATTTACAGTTTCATGACTTATTAAGGTTATATTTAACAGGTCATTAATTATATAAGGTACATTTAACAGGGTCATTACTTATATAAGGTACATTTAACATGTCATTACTTATATAAGTTAACATTTAACAAGGTCATTACTTATATAAAGGTACATTTAACAGGTCATTTTTTTATACTTGACGTGCTGTTGGGAGTTGTGGCCAAATGTAGCCATTTATGAAAGGGGTTCAGGAAAACCGGCAGGCGGACTTGAGTCCTGGAGATGGGAAGTACAGTGCCTGCACTCTGAAGGAGGGGTGTTAATGTTGCAGTTTAAAAACTGTAGTGTAAAGCACCCTTCTGGCAAGACAGTGAGTGGAATGAATGATGGTTTGAAAGTTTTTTCTTTTTCGGGCCACCCTGCCTTGGTGGGAATCGGCCAGTGTGATAATAAAAAATAATAATTACTTATATAAGGCACATTTAACAGGTCATGACTTATATACCTGGAGTTTACCTGGAGAGAGTTCAGGGGGTCAACGCCCCCCTCGCGGCCCGGTCTGAGACCAGGTCCTGGTGGATCAGAGCCCTGATCAACCAGGCTGTTGCTGTGCATAACGCAAACCAACGTACGAGCCACAGCCCGGCTGATCAGGAACTGACTTTAGGTGCTTGTCCAGTGCCAGCTTGAAGACTGCCAGGGGTCTGTGGTAATCCCCCTTATGTATGCAGGGGGCTGTTGAAACAGTCTCGGGCCCCTGGGACATATTTGTATGGTTCTCTTAACGTGCTAGTGACACCCCTGCTTTTCATTGGGGGGGAGGTTGCAATCGTCTGCCAAGTCTTTTTTGCTTCGTAAGTGAGTGGATTTTGTGGTGCAAGTTCGGTATAGTTCCCTCTAGGATGTTCCAGGTGTATCTATTCATGTATCCTCTCCCACCTGCGTTCCAGGGAATACAGGTTTAGGACTCAACTGGACCGCTTGGCTTACGTTAATAAAGTAATGAATGAATCTATAGGAAACTTAATCTGAACTTCACATTTCGCAGCACTTTAACAAAATCTCAGTTACAAGCTGTGAGAAAACACATTGCTCAAGGGCTCTGTATTGTCTTTCAGTTAGTAAGGGAATATGGTCTTGTGGGACTGATTCTATTGACGTTTGCATGATACGCTAAGTGAACGTTCAAAGTGATGGGGACATCTCTCAGTGAACTTACTGAAGGGATAAGGCAAAAAAAAAAAATAGAAAGAATGACACAGTAAGCTTCTAAACGGGGAAGGGAAAATGCTTGAAACGATTCTGCATAAGTAATAAAAATTGAGAGGTCACACAGTAAGCAAAGAACTCACAGTCACAGAGAAAATGCTTATGCTGAACAAACAACACTTTGAAAATCAAGAGAACTTGTACTTATACTCAAATCTGGATTGGCTCAATTTTACTTTAAATTGAATGAATGGCACAGTGAGTTGTAGCTTTACTCTCAATGCAATTGGGAAATACACAATAAAATGATAAAATGGACTCAATAAAGCTTGTGAAAAAATAAAAACAAATGGGAACAATAAAGAATAAAATATTATGCACAGAAAGAAAGAGCATATGAAACTG